AGCACAGATAGCCCATTATGTAGCTTTGTGCTTAGCTACAAACAAACAAATACATCATGGTGCCTCGCCCCCAGTGGCACAGCGGTATGTCTGCGGACTTACAACGTTAGAATCCGGGTTTCGATACCAGTGGTGGGCAGAGCACAGACAGCCCATTATGTAGCTTTGTGCTTAACTACAAACAAACAAACACGATAGAAAAGACTGGTGAAAAAGGGTGACATTGTTATTTATGGAAAGCTTCTAATTTACTGATACTTTGATTAGTACTCATATCAAAATAGGTTTTTCCTCTTTTATAATGAGTTTTTTTTCTTTCTCACAAACTCTGAAAGTTCTGTATTTATAATCATCTTGTTAGAAAAACGGCATGATGAACCTCACATAGACGGACACACAAACACAAAAATAAATATTGACAAATTATCCATAAACATTCATGATTTTTTACTTTTACTTACTTTCTGTGAAAAATGTTTAGTATGCACAAACATCGGCTTTAGTTTGTGTTTCTTTATAAATGTTTGTTACAGATACTTAGAAATGAAAATAAAGTTATACTTTTTGTTTTTTCTCTCGTCATTTTGTGTAAATCAAAGAAACATAATGTATACTAAGAAACTGATGTATTTTTTTTTCCGGAAAATTCTCACGTCTTTCTTAATTAAAAAACAACTTAAAATAATCAGTAATTCAAATTAATTCGTAATATAAAGAAAAGAGAAACCACTGGAAAAAAGCGTAATGTTTTAAAATTAACGTGTTTTTTTAATTGTTAATAATTAACAAAAATAAATTTATTTAGATGCACTGAAATATCAAATAAAAGGCATATATACAAAACACTGACTTCGTTATCTATCATCCACAAAACATGTTCGAAAACGTACATTTTACAGGTTTTAGGCAAATAGGTAGTTAGATTTAAAAAAAATATATATTACTTAATGCTCATTAGATTACACATTAAAATTGAAATGTAATTTTTTCATTAGATTACACATTAAAATTGAAATGTAATTTTTTCATTAGATTACACATTAAAATTGAAATGTAATTTTTTCATTAGATTACACATTAAAATTGAAATGTAATTTTTTCATTAGATTACACATTAAAATTGAAATGTAATTTTTTCATTAGATTACACATTAAAATTAAAATGTAATTTTTTCATTAGATTACACATTAAAATTAAAATCTCATTTTTTTCCAACCCATAGGAAAACACATTATTCCATAATAAAAATAACGGAAAAACTTTGGTTCAATATGGCTTGGGTGGGCGTTCAGAAGTGTTTTCTTACTCTAGCCAGCTTCTAAAGTTCACACGGGGGCGAGGTCTTGAGAAGCTGTTACATAGTGAGTTTACGCTTCTATTGGTTGGGCGAAAGTTAACGCCCTCTCGTGGAAAAGTTCCTTATAAAGTTAGCGATTAGAGCCCCGTATTTGAGAGAAGGAAGAAAGAGCTGAGTAATAAGTAAAGATTTGTTAGAATCAGCTTGAAGCAAGATCTGTTGCATCGACTGTCAAACTTTTGCCCTGCGACACTGATCTGTTGACTAAAGAACTCAAGGTTAGAGCTGTTTTCGAGTAAGTTTGATTCCAAGTATGAGTACTTTAATGAGTCGTTTTTTTTTCCCTATAATTCTTGGGAAAGTTTCCGAGATTATTTATTGTTACTAATAAGATGTGTTAATTGAGTATATTATTATTACGAAAAAGTTATTTTACCGCCCAGAACGGCTATTTCGTATCCAAATTTGCTGAAAACCAGGATTAACGGTTGAAGATTTGCTTCTCAGTAAATCGTAGGAGAAATAAAATAACTATTCTATTATCCTTTTCTAAGCTTCCGGCTTATTTTGTTCGCATACAGATTAGATTTCGTCTGGATTAAACGTCAGATTAAAGATAACTTGTAAGGTTGCGAAGACTAACTTTGTTTCCCTTATTAAACAAATGTCTTACAAATTCCCGGGTGAACGGTCTAACAGAAAACAAGAAATTTCAATATGTATAATTCTATTTACTGATCTTATATAACTATCTCTAGATTAATTCTATCCAAATGGATTTGCTCTCCTACAGCGGGCCAGCGGTAGGTTTACAGACTTACAAAACTAAGATCCGGGGGCTCAATACCCCGTGTTGGACAGAGCGCAGATAGCATATTGTGTAGCTATGAGCTAAAAACAAACAAACAAACAACAACTCGATTTAGTTACTTCTGTATTGTACCACGTCGAAAGAGTTTCTGTTTAATTAATAAACTGTCTATGTATAACTGAGGATTCAATAACTTTCGCTAATATGTTTTATCGGAGTTTTATTTTATTTTATTTATTCAGTCATCTTTTCACTGGTCGTCATATTTTAAATAACGCATACAGATCGATAGTATAACATACCAGTCAGTCCCTTAGCGTGGATGGTGGATGATAGGGTGGTCAGTAGGTCAAGCCCCCCAGTGGCACAGCGGTATGTCTGCGGACTTGCAATGCTAGAAACCGGGTTTCCATACCCGTGGTGGGCAGAGCACCGATAGCCCATTGTGTAGCTCTGTGCTTAACTACAAACCATCCTTTTAAATGACTGATAAACTAAGCGGTTTGATACTGTAAAGTTGGCCTGCAGTAAATACCACCACCTCAATTTTATAATAACCCCATAATTTAAGGTGGGGGTGATATTTTGTGGTATCGCGTTAAAAGGGAGGATTGGATATAAAAAGCTTAAGACTACAGATAAAGTAACTATATAAAGGAGAGCATATCAAGCTGGAGATGAACTATCCAAATCGACAGTTCCATTTATCACAGATTTGAAACTATTCTTTACTGGCTGAGATTTAGAGTCCGATCCCTATGACTTTTACACTGCAGATAGCCCATTGGAAAGCCTTGTGTTTACCAACAAATAAAAAAAAAACAGATAAAAATTACTTAAATGAGAATTGTATAGCTTTATTTTATATGATCTGATACACTCTTATTAATACCATATTAAAATCTCGTGTTTATGAACAGCACAGCATAGTAATGCGAATATAATTTATTTTCCGAATAAGTCGTTCTATATAAGTTCTTTTTAGCCGGGCTTTCAATCGTAGTGCTAGGAATACCGTTAAAATGGCGATGAATATGGAAATATTTGATCCTATTGTATACAGAAACAAAGCTGTATAAACCTTATCTGTTAACGGACTCACCTGAATATTTTGATACGAATCTCTAACTTATTCTAAACTTATTGCACATAGGTTACTATTTTATTGTGTTTTTTATTGATGGTTCTGTAATCTATAAGCAATGTGAAGGTCATGCCAATGTTTTAAGAAACTGATATGTCAGAGAATTAATAATTTAGAATTTAATCATTCTCTATAAGAAATATTCCCGCGCGATCAAACTTGAATTTTTAATTCTTTTTCTTGTTCATACTTTGTTTTTCTCCTGGAAGCTCATAGTTCACGTGGCAACAAGAGCCGGTTGTTAGGGTGATGAAAAACAACGGAAACATAATCTGGGGAAACACTTCCTTTGAAATTGTTACCAGTACACTTAGGTACAGAAATGGCAGAAAATGACATACATACATGTCAGATCGGCAACAAGAGCCGGTTGTTAGGTAGGTTGTTAGGGTGATGAAAGACAACGGAAACATAATCTGGGGAAACACTTCCTTTGAAATTGTTACCAGTACACTTAGGTACAGAAAGGGCAGAAAATGACATAAATACATGTCAGATCGGCAACAAGAGCCGGTTGTTAGGTAGGTTGTTAGGGTGATGAAAGACAACGGAAACATAATCTGGAGAATCACTTCCTTTGAAATTGTTATCAGTACACTTAGGCACAGAAAGGGCAGAAAATAGTTGAAAATTATATCTTATGTCCCCCCCCGTTTTTTGTTTGTTTGTTATGAAGTACAAAGCAACACAATGTACTATCTATACTTTGCTCACCGCGGGTATTAAAACTCAAATTTTAACGTTATAAGCCCTCAGACTTACTACTGAGTCACCGGAGAGCCGGAGCTCTTTTTGACATAAATACAATTGTTTATTTGTTGAAAATGTTCGCACTGAGTTACACGAGGGCTATCTGTGCTTTGCCCACCGCGGGTACACAAGGGTTATCTGAATATAGCCATCACTAATTCTGAACTGATAGATCAGAGGAAAGGCAGCTAGTTAACAGCTCTTTCCACTGACTATTGGGCTAATACTGTCAGATCGAATAGTACGATTTGACCGCGTATTTGCGACCATGGAATGCAAACTATGAATTATCAGAATCACAGTTTGGGAAAGCTCACAACTGGGCCACACCTAGCCCGCATATGTAACAGTAACAGAGTTTAATATATAATTTTGTTGAAATATTTCAGGAAAATACTAACTTCGTGCGTTTTCTCTGGACAAGTAAAACTTCAGTGAGTAACTAGTTAGGCAAACTGGCATTATTAACTTGACAGACTTTAATAGTTGAAATTCCGAAAGCCTTATTTCGTGGTTTAAAGTCGTTATGTTTTTATCTTGCGATTAGCAATATGTTGTTACGTTCCCCAAAAACGCCGGAAAAAGATTTTGTTTAGAAACCAATATCAGTAACTGAAGAATCACATACATTCTATTTTTCAATATAACTAATTAATGGGTTTTACCCGGAGACTCTGTACACATTAAGATTTTTTTTTTTTACATATGAGACATTTATGGCTATTTTCAAAAGTGGCCCGGCATGGCCAGGTGGTTAGGGAGCTTGACTCGCAATTTGCGGGTTCGAATCCCCCATCCCACCAAACATGCTCGCTCTTTCAGCCATGGGAGCGTTATAATGTGACGGTTAATCCCATATTTTCAAAAGTAGTATTTCCTTTTATTTCCATGAGGTGTTTCGTTGTCTGTTTTTTTTGTTTGTAGTTAAGCACAAAGCTACACAAAGGGCTATCTGTGCTCAACCCACCACGGGTATCGAAACCCGGTTTCTAGCGCTGTAATTCCGCAGAAATACCGCTGTGCCACTGCGGGCCGTTTCGTTGTCATGTATTAACAATCATTTGACTTTAGCATCACTATTTCTAAGAAACTGGTTAAACTTCTACTTTAACAACCCCCCATGGATTGCAGTGGCAATTGAAACATCACTGCTTGATTTAAATATAAAGGAAAATATTTTGAATTATCTCAAAACAGTCAGTTTGTAATATAGAATAGCTCAAGAGTTGGCGGTGGGTGGTGTTGACCATTTGCCTTCCCTTTAGTCTATCACTTGTAAATCATGGACGGCTCGAGCAGATAATTCTTGAATAGCTTGGTGGAAAATTCAACAAAAAACGAACAGTTTTAAGTTCATTACACAAATGTAAAAATAATTACACCTGTCAGTGCATATAATGTTATTGTTGGTAGAGGTCATTTACAACAAATATTTCATTCATATCTTTGTAGTATTGTTGCTTAATGGACACTTTAAACAAATATTTCATCCATATCTTTGTGGTATTGTTGCTTAATGGACACTTTAAACACATATTTCATTCATATCTTTGTGGTATTGTTGCTTAATGGACACTTTAAACAAATATTTCATTCATATCTTTGTGGTATTGTTGCTTAATGG